ACAGATAGATAGATAGAAGATAGCTAAATAAATAGATAGATTGATAGATAGAAGATAGCTCAATAGATAGATAGATTAATAGATAGATTAGATAGATAAATAGAAGATAGATAGATAGACAAATAGATAGATAGATAGGCACACAGATATATAAATGGGACAGATAGATATTTTGACAGCTGGACAGTGCGTATAATTTAGTGTGCGTAAAACAATTTACAATGAAACTTGATATAAAAACACATGCATAGATATGAATAACTATATACACAGATAAATTGACACATGCTTACACATAGATAGATAGAAAGATTTAGTTATTTCTCTGTTATTTTATTTATATATCTATTAATGCCTACACTTGCTAAATTTTCGAAAATGTTTTGCACTTGTTTCTCAATGCCAGAATATGTTGCTGAATTGTTACTTCTCTGATGCGAATTATCACTTATCACAAATGATTAACATGCATGAAGAATGGCACATGAACACTACGATGATGAAGCAGACAAAGTAACGCAGGTAAAGCTCTAAGAATCTTAAACAATATAGATACAGTGAAGGATACACATGTCGAAGCGTCTCCTCCCAGCTGAAGGCCTTACAGAAAACGGAACGGCGGGCGTGTCTTTCTTTTTTGGCTCCAAATCCATTATCCTTCATCTGTTCAAGAACATTATCAAACGGTGAAATATATATTACTTTTTTCCACATTTTTTCTTCCAGATAAGATTTTTCACTCACGATCACCATGTAGAATAGAACCGGGTGTCGCAAAATCACTGTCTTGACCCATGCACTCATTTGTAAACAAGTAAACTCAAAAATAGAGATCTCTGTACAAAATCAAAATATAAAACAAAAAAATATATATTTACATAATCTACTCCCTAAAAATTATTCTAGAAAGGACGAACGCACTCACAAGACCTCGATACTGCCCCATGGTCGCTGGGTGACTTGCTACTGTTGAATGTCCGAGTTGCTAACCTCGCAGCTGCTCCAGTTTTTATATCAGTCCCCCTCTCTAGATTGTCCCTAATTGCCGCGTTTTCTTTTATTCACGCAAAGAAAACGGCAGCAAGTTAGCCTCCTTTACACTCTATGTCATAAAATCTCGCCACCTACCGATGCTATACACAATATGCTAAAACCATTTCATGTCTTGCATTTTATTAGCTGTCAAGGATAGAATCTTTGTGGATATTAAGGCAATTTAGCAACTCATGTTCAAGGTCGAAGGGAATCCCAAAAGAGATACCAAGAGAGTGGGGGATCTCGGGCACAGTAATTCCAATTTTTTGTTTTAGTAACTATAATTCACAGGTTATATGGCCTAATAGCTCTGCTATGCATGGCCTGGTAGTTATTATTATTGTTATTGTCATTATCATTATTACTTTACTTTAATTCTTATTATGATCATCATTGCTACTATTAATACCATCATCATCATTAATATTATTGTTATCATTATTAACAATATTGTTACTGATGTTATGCCGTTGTTTTTACCAATGTCATCATCATCATCATTCCCAGCAGCAGCATAAGTGTTCCTGTTCGTGATCTCTATGTACCTGTGCATTGACAGATACACTCTAAAGCACGCACACAAACACGCACATCCACACACAAACACGCACATCCACACGCACATCCACACGCACATCCACACGCACACAAACACGCACACACGCACATCCACACGCCACACGCACACAAACACACATCCACACGCACACAAACACGCACATCCACACGCACACAAACACGCACATCCACACGCACACAAACACGCACATCCACACGCACACATACACGTGCACAAGCGAACAAACACCTACGCACACTCAAAAATACCCAACAACTTGCATGTCCAAAATAGTTCAGAATGCTTTGGGAATCCTGTAGGTAACATGCCTTTAGGGTGAGCTGGTTTTCCGAAAGCAACAGACAGGTAACAGATCGTCACTTATTTAGTTTATTATTATCTATGTACATTTTTATCACATGGTTTTAATTTTCATACTGGTTATCACTGTATTAATTTCTTTATTGAAGAGAGAGATGAAAAGGTAAAGGGTTGCATTTTCTTTGAGATTATAAAGTTATGAAATGATACATGTTTTATTATATTATATATACATATATATATATATATATATATATATATAATATATATATATATATATATATATATATACGTGTGTGTGTGAGTATAATTTGTTCAAAAATCCAATCGTTTCTCTTTTTTTCCCTTCTGACATGAAATATATACAGAGCAAATTTTAATCTGCGGTTTCATTCTTCTTGTTCATGCCCACGCTTGTTTGTTTTCTTGTTTGTTTGTTTTCCATTTTCGGTTTTTGTTATTATCATTATTTCTATTCTTTTTCCTTATTTTTTTCTGATTTTCCACGTCATTACCCAGATTTTTCCCTCTCCTTTTTTGCTGTTGTGTTCTAAGTCATTTTTATTATATTATATTATTATTATT